GCCAACATTGTCGAGACAGTTCAGTTTCTCGTGTTTTATATTGTCTATTCTATGTTTGATCTTATGAGCGCCTACATATGTTATGCTCTCTGTGCTACGGAATGCGTAAATGCTTACAGGCTGGTTTTGATACTGAGAAAACATCTTCCCCAAATAATAAGCATGGCAGACTCGATCTCAAAACTACCTGTGAAATATTTAATCCTGTTTGTACAGGTTTTCGAGGTTCATCAAAAAGCAAAAGGATATAAAATGACCCTCATTACAACAACATCAAAATAGCTAACAGCAAGATATTAGCAGTCCTTAAACGAAGACGAATGTCTATAACAAGAGGCTAAACTGAGCCTCATACTATGTAAAGCCTATAGAGGAAACAAAGAAAATACTGTTGGTTGTTCAGTAGTTGACATCAGCTACAAATACAAGACTCGCCTCTATTTTAAGAAAATGAAGCTTGTTAACCATTGTACTGATGTGTAAACAAGTAGTTTATATTTCATAATATCCAGCGTGAAAGCGTATTTCATAGGGAGAATGATCAGCTACTTGAGAATCTAGGTATGTGACGCTGTTACAGTAGAACACAAGATTATTCGGTAACGGGATTATTTTTAGTGGCAACTCAACGTAGAGAAATAAGCAAAAGAAGTCTGGCATATATTAGAACAATAATTTGCACAAAACTTCGGTATGGTTTCGTCTTGACTGTTGTGCTCCTTTGTCATCATTTCATGCTTTTCCTCTTTGTTTCACAAGAATCGTTCATTTCTATTCTTCCCCATTAAATTCGTCTCTCCACTATTTCATATCCGTGCAGGTGGTATACATATTTGCATCTGTGTCTCAATACTACTTGTATATCTTGTCAGTAGAACACGCCACAACACAAATATCTCATGAAATCTATTTTTTACGTATGTGTTACTTGATTCTAAGTTTTTTCTATCGAAGCCGTCCATAAGAGCTTCGGTAATGTGAAGCTTCGACGTTTCTTATTACCGTGTAGGAATTCGAGGTTAAGGTTTACTGACACATTTCTTACCGTTGTGGGCGAGTAAAACATATTGCTGTATTAATTCGTAAAAGAACCCGCTGAGTCATGGCCAACAAATTGCAAGTGTATGTGGAATCAAATGCTAATCAAAATATATTTTAACCACTCTACTATTTAAATGAAATCTTACTGGAATCCTATGGACCTGCTTTAGCAGTGAGAATATCTCTTGAAACTCACTATGAAGGAGAGTTTGTTTGTGCTAATCATTTTATCCAACACTCTGTTTTCGAAGACAAAGTTTACTTGCAAATTTGCCTTTCTTCTGAAACCTAGGCAACATACACGCTCACTCTTTGGTATATGCTGAGTGAGTGATTCAATATTATTAGGCATTCTGTCTTTATGTAGTACGATCACTGACCGTAAGAATCAAATCTAATTATAAACCATTGGTCATTTGTAACTTCACATGAATCGTTTATCGTGTTATACTATCAAAATTGTCATTGATAAGTTTGTAAAATCACTGAATTTCGAATTCTGAGAAGCTCAACTGGAAAATGGCGTTCACGAGTATTTGCAATTGCAACTACTATTACAATTAGTGAGCTAGCATTCTCCATTCATCACATTCGAAAGCATATATTCCAATGAGTGGTTTTTGTGTTTACAAGTCTGTCTGAGCCACATAGCTGAGTGTAAACTCCAGATGAGCTATGTTGTTGAATGATTGTCCAGAGCACACCAGAATACGCTAGGGTGCACAAGGTAATACTGTATATAAATCGAGTTGGTTCTATCTTGGATAATCTTCCTTTCTCATGAATCTCCTAACTTCAACTTTGTCTCATTCGGCCTTCTAATTTTTAGTTACCTTCATGGTGAAACCGTAAGTAGAGAGTGGGAATTATATTGCCAAGAAGAGTAATTGCTTTTCAAGCAAAGTCGGTCTTTTCAATTTTGCTGTTTCGCAGAAGATTTGAATTTCCCACCCACCATTCTGTGAGATGGAGGCTATTAGTAAATAGTCGGACCAAGTTTCGTTTTCTGCCAGCTGTAAGAATTTCTTAGCTGACCGTCCCGTAGATGGTTTGTGTACGCTGACTTCTTCAAAGTCTAGTGACTACGCTACGATGCCTTCACATCAGAAAAACTCAATTCATTTGTTCCTCATATCAAGTGTGAATTTAATGGCTGGACGGCATTTACTAGTTGCACTTCATATATTATTTAAACCACGCGAATCATCACGAATACTGTGAGTATCAGCTACGTACCACTCAAGAAACTTCACACTGCAATCAGTCCCTGAAGTGAAGAGACTGACTAGGTAGTTAGCTAATAATATCCAGCCTCTCTTTTCGTTCAGTATCCATCACCTGACTGTTCAACTTCCGCACTTATCACAACATTTGGAGAGTTTCACATTTCAGCAACAGTCACCTCCTTTGATAAGTTCATATTACGCTTTCAGAATGCAGATATCGTGAGACGATATCTTCCACTGTTTTTTTTACAACTACCATGGTTCACAATGACAAAATAAAGTGTTTGACAAATGCACAGTTCCATAAAATGATATTATGTAGTAAAAGCCAGTTATACTTTGTTTGTAAATGAAGTAGACCGTGATGAGGGAATTTCGAATTTTTTTTTTTTGTGATCATATAGTTTGCGGTTAATGTGAATAATATGAAATGCTTCAGTTAACCTTATTATTCCGAAAATAAAGTTATCGAAGTTATTTGTGATGATTGAGTAGTAGCCATTATTATTCATTTTATGACCAAACATTAAAAAAGTTTTAGCAATGGAAAATACTAGATTTGTATTCAGAATGAGTACCTATGGAAAATATGCGGCTAAATAACTACTGAGGAACATATTCTTTCCAACGCAGCTGCGAGCGAATTTCATCCTTTACTCGAAAGTACAGGGATAGACCATGTTCGAGATGTCAGGCAAAAAAGACGGTTAAGAACGTGCTTTTAGCGGCTGATCTGAGCCTTTGAGTCGTCAGCTGATCCATCAGTATATAACAGTTGAAAATTACACGGGCCTACGAGAACAGGCATTTCCCTAGGAAACGTTCCCCCTGGAGAGGAAGGGAACCGCTGAAATGATAGTGTTGTCCACCTCAAGCCTGCTTCTCAAATATGGATCTTATCTCGTGATATTTGTCTTATTGTTGCCTAATTTAAATTTAGCATTTACCTTAGAGACTGGTAGGAACGGTTCTTGCTTACATGTTTAATGCGCTACTATGTCAATACCTAGGTATTCTTTAGATTATTTGATAAGTGCACCATTATGGTGAACAAAAAATAAGTTTAAATTGCATTGTGTTGTGGACGGCTTGATTCATTTGAATAATTTTTATTATGAGAATACAAATGGAAATGAGGCGTGATAACGCATTTTATTTACCTTACTACTAGATTTACTAGATTTTCCAAGATGAATGCACATGAGGGAAATTCTTTCAGAAACATGAATTCACTTTGAGCCGCATAGCCATTGATGATTTCTCCCTAATCTAATGTTGGTCAGACTTCAATTTTGGGTTCACTTTATGCTGTCTATTACCATTATATAATGCGGATCATTGTTGCCTACCTCGTAACCGAAATTCCGTTTTCCAGTATCTTTCCATCACTTGGTGTACAGTCAGTATTTGCTGTATATTACTTGCAGAGGAAAACCAACAAACTGGCTGGAGAAGCAGCCGGAGAAGACAAAACTGCGGGTGAACATGGCAAGATAGAGGTGACGAAGATAAGCGAATAACACCGGTAACAAAACCAGCACCTGTCACCAGTAACAGGAGAGATTCGACAGAGGTAACTTTCTCCACTTACCTAGGAAGTAAGGTTTCAACCGCAGGCTGAAAGGCTGAATATGTCAAGGTCAGAATCGGATAAGCAATATACGCCTTTATCAGCCTGAAACGAATTTGGAAGTCGGCACTCAGCAAACACACGGAACGAGATAAGTATTTTGAACACAAATGTGGAGTCAGTCAGTCACTTCTTCCATACGGGTCAGAAATTTGGCCAGCGCCTCATGAAAAGATTTCCAACAGGTTGCAGAGATTTATCAGCATCTGGCTGCCTTTCTCCGGCTCTATACTGAAGACAAGATAACAGACCAGAAAGAATTAGCAACACGAAACTGTGGGAAAAATTTCACCAGCAGCCTATTACTCAACAAATATGCAGGGGAAAATGGAGATAAACCAAAGATACATTGTTGTCGCCATCAAATGAAATCGCGCATCGACCATCGTTTTAATGGAGTCCTATTGTGAAGCGATGATCGATTCACCTGAGATCGACATGAGGGAGACTGCATGAAAACGAGATCAGAGATTAAGGGAAATTGTGGAACTAGCCGAAGAGGACAGCACGAAAATAATAATCAGAGAAGTATTGTTGAACCCTTCTATTCCAATAGGAACCTTAGAGATTAATAATACCTGCTGTTCCATTCTCTTTTGAATGTTGTTCATTCTAATATATTTCAATTTCACCTGAGAAGCTTTGCGAATCACAACCTGACCATGTCGTATTTTTTCCATATTGACCCGTATTGATAGAGCATTCGACTTTATACAGTATAGACACTTCACAATGTGATGCTTGCGAATTGCATGTAATACATCTTTGTAATCTATAGCATATTTTAGAAATATCCTTTGATTGTGTTTTTACGCATGGCTTAAACGTTCGCCTAAATAAATCGAGAAATTGATTACAAAATATTGTTTCGTATATGCTAAGAAAAATCCACTCTCTTTTCTTCCCAGGATTTAGTTTAGTTAAGAAAGTCAAATGCATGAGAAACACATATAACTTCTTCGATTCGAAGTTATCCTTGTACTTCGTAAACCTTTGAACAATCGATAGCATATATTCCGTTTGAAAAAATTCACCAATAGTTTAACTATGATGTTGTGATCTATTCCGACATTTTACTTTAATGTGTATAAAGACTTCATGAAAATTGTTGAGATTCAAAACGGAATTTGATCACTGGTATACTCAATATTTATTTCGATTACCATAAACAACGTCAATATATGTATATGCATATATATGCAAAACGATCAAAATAATTTCTAAGGCATATATATCAGAGGCTACACACTACTTCAGGTGAGTGAACTATTGTCATGTCCTCTCCGCTTGTTATGTTTGAATCAATTGATTCTTGAGTTTACTCTATTACGCATGAATAGATGTTATCGATTATAGTCTAATTTGGATCATATCGGACGGGCTTTATTCCCTTTAAGACAAGCACCACGACTTATTTACACGTATCAACTATTTCCAAAATGTGGATAATCTCATTCCTATAGAAAATGCATTTAGTTGTGCTAGTTTGTCAGGATTACTTTCGTGTGACAATTCGTGACAATTAGGTGTAAATGACGAATTTTATCCAAACACTGTTTTCCTGTTTTGAAAAGTATAATGTCGGAAACAATGATCATATTCATTCACTAAAGGAGACTTAAGTCAATGTAAAAACTGGCGGGAATTATGCTTCTGTCCATTCCAAGCAAGATACTAAGTCGCATCATCCTGGAGAGAATCAAACAAGCCCTAGATGAAAAACTTCGTCCGGAACAGGCTGGATTCAGGAGAAACAAATCATGTATTGATCAAATCGCCACTCTACGGATCATCATTGAACAAAGCTTGAAATGGCTGTCACCTCTCCACCTCATCTGCATCGACTTTGAAAAGGCCTTCGACAGCGTCAATCGAGAGGTCATTTGGGAACTACTTCGCTACTACGGGGTCCCATCGACAATTATACATCTCATCCAACACTTATACGACAATGCTGCATGCCAAGTAATCCACAACGGGAAACTTACGGAAGCCTTCGAAGTGAGGACGGGAGTGAGGCAAGGCTGTCTACTATCACCAATGATCTTCCTGATTGCAATCGATTGGATAATGCGACAGACAACGTCAACCAACGAGGGAACAGGCATAAAATGGACTGACACAAAAGACTTGGAGGATCTGGATTTCGCCGATGATATATGTCTGATTTCCCATAAACTGGAAGATATGCAAATGAAAAGTAACAAGTTGGCAGAAGAAGCATCAAAGATAGGACTTCACGTGAACATAGATAAAACAGAGATGATGAAGATTCCTTGCCAACATCAACAGCAACAACAGACCACAATAAGCATAAATGGGAAGAACCTGAAAGAAACAACCTCCTTCACCTACCTGGGAAGCATCGTCTCAACTACAGGCGGAACTGACGAGGACATCAAAGCCAGAATCGGAAAAGCAAGACAAGCTTTCATTACTCTCAAATCTGTGTGGAGGTCAACAGCATTCAGCATCAAAAATAAGATCCGGATTTTCAACTCCAATGTGAAGTCAGTGCTACTATACGGATCAGAGACTTGGCGAGTCATAAAGAGCATCTCAAACAAACTTCAAACCTTCATTAACAACTGTCTCCGCTCAATACTCAAGATCAGATGGCCAGAAAAGATCAGCAACAGGGATCTCTGGGAGCGAACCAATCAGGAACCGATTGTGAAACAAATAGGCAGAAAGAAATGGAGATGGATTGGCCATACGCTGAGGAAACCAACAAGTGACATCACTAGACAAGCCCTCGAGTGGAACCCGAAAGGGAGGCGGCGAGTTGGTCGTCCAAGGGTGACTTGGAGGAGGTCATGTGAAGAGGAGATGAAAGCATGTGGGCAGACCTGGAGCAGGGTGAAAAAGTTGTCAAAAAACCGAAGTCAATGGAGGTGCGCAGCTGAAGCCCTATGTTCCTCTAGGAACTAAAGGATACAATATAAGAATAATAATGTTTTCATCTTTTTAAAAGTTAAACATTACGAGCCTTATGTTTGACACATTATTATTATTAACAGTGTTCCCTTGGGTTCCCAGTAGAACATAGGGCTTCAACTGCACGTTTCCACTTGCTTCTGTCTTCTACTGTACTTTTCACCTTCATCCATGTTAGTCCATACTGTTTCAACTCCTCTTCACACGAGCTCTTGCATGTCAGCCTTGTACGTTCCACTCACCGCTTCACTTCCGGGTTTCACTCGAGAGTATCACGCGTGATGTCACCAACCGGCCTCCTCAGCAAGTGTCCAATGCATCTTCAATTTCTCCTGCATATTTGTTGGGCGGTTGGTTCTTGTTTTGTTTGTTCCCACATACTCGCACATTGTTGAACGGTTTTGATTCTTTCGTCACACTTACTTCTATTTACAGATTTCAGTTTAATCAAGAATGGAAGATTTCGTTTCATCTTTTGTCAGTCCGAAAATAAGGAGTCAGGAACTGAAAAAATCTTTTCCCATAAACTATACTTCGGTAAGAATAGCAGGATTTGTTTTATTTTTATTTTATTTTTTATATCATTCTCAGCTAATAGTCGGCATAATGCTTTTAATACTAGTGACAATGAGTTTGGTCTTCTTGTTTGTGTTTGTGTAAGGTTGAGTTAGAGAAAGAATAAAATCGTATCGCGCTTTGCAGGAAAAGTATTCCAGAATTTATAAAGAATCATTTCTACTTGGTCTTTACTATAGCGTAAGTTGTCTATTGAACATTTTATTTATTAATCGAATTAATTATTCTTGAAATAGATAAAATGTGTAATTCGTTTATAATAATACAATATCCTTCTTTATTTGCCTAAACTTTTACACAGCAATAACGTCTGTGATAGAGTTCAATTGGCTTGATTAAGTGAAATTGTAAAGCCTGCATTTCACAGCATTTTATAAAGTAGATTCTTGGTCACTAAGCCTGACGAAATCTGTGAAACTTACGTTGGTGTTCGCACTGACTGAGGAATACTAACATTCGGAATCAACAATGCGACAAATTGTATGCCACTCACTAACATTTGATTCATTGATTCCGTCAAACCGTCTGGAAAGTTAATAAATAAGTAACTTACCTTTTTGATTCTTTTATTTCTTACTTGTCTAGAGTCATCTTTTTATTCACTCCCTGTGCTCCGATTCAAACACGAGGTTTCAGGTTTAAGATCCCACTGCTTCAGTATGGTCGGTGTTTTTTTCTACATGGCGAGGCTACTAAATGCATTTTCAGTCTTTCGTTTGAACCAGGCTTACCATCTGGCTGGTAGACCACGTAAGATCGATGAATTCATCCACTGTCAATTCAAAACCAAATCAGGTGCCTAGTCAGCTACCATTCTGCTACTAAGCCACTGACTCACAAGATTTATCATTCAATTACAACTCACAAAACGTGTTCACTTACATAATTTTTCCATTGAATTCACCTCAACTGGTGTTACCTGAAATGAGGGTCATTACCATGCACCTTATATATTGAGCTTTTGGTTTTATTTTGAAATCTGCCTTCGCAAATGCTACCTTAACAGGTATCTCCAGAAATCACATTTCTCTCGACCACCAGAGATCTTGATTTCGCATAAATATGCATATTTGTAGTTGGTGAGTACAGAAAGATAATCTTCAACAAAATTCATCATATTTTCACTCTGAAACGATAGTCAGTGCGTGTGAAGAAAACAGTGTATCGCTGCGTTCTGCTTTTATATTATTTTTTAATTTTATTTTAATGGTAAATAAAATGAGGGCTGTGTCATTTCAAAAATGACTATGGCAACTGATATCTGCTCTGCAGAGACAATCGATAGGGAACTAGATAACCTTCGATCAAATCTCCTTAACAATGGTTATCCCACAAGATTCGTTGAACGTAACATCAAGAAAGAATCCGCCCCGAGACATGTCACAGTACCAAAGAAAAAGCTGTTTATGAGTCTTACATTCAAAGGTGACACCATTTCAGAATTGATTAAAAATCGTTTATCTAAATGTATTAAACGTACTTTTCCTGCAGCTGACTTGCATCTAGTTTTTACCAGCCGAAATATGATCAGACAATGCGTCAAGGATAGATTACCGCTTTTGTCCACATCTATGTGCATTTACTCTTTTACCTGCTCTTGTGGAGCTGTTTATATTGGACGTTGTAAGCGTAATCTCCGAAAACGTGTAGCTGAACACTATCCGGTTTGGTTAATGAAAGGCGAACGTAGAACTGCAAAGTCGTCTATTTGTGATCACCTGTTAGAGTCTGGTCATTTAGCTCCACGTGATTCATCTTTCAAAGTTATTTACATGGCAAAATCGAATCGATCCAAAAGTTTACGTTTTCTTCACTTATGCATAGCCGAAGCTTTAGCTATACATGAACAGAAACCTAAATTATGTGTTCAAAAGCGTTTTGTCAAACCCCTTTCTTCACCTTGGTCATAATAATGTTCTTTCTAGTTTTTATTTTATTTTACCACTTGAATTCTATCCACTTCACTTCACATCTTCATTCTTATCGTAATCCTACTCCTAATTTTCAAAATTTTTAGACAACACTTGACAATTTTGTTATAGAACAATCTTTAATATTTTTGTAATTTATCCACTTCAACTCTACCCCTTATAACTTTTATCACATATATACGTACATTGACTGAGCAATTATTTAGTGCCACTTAATAACCTTTTTCTGTAATATAAATACGACTGTACAGCTTGAAAATGAAGTCGTTGAAAAGAAATTTCTTCGCTGAACAAAAGCTCTTATCTTGTCAATGAGATTGGTTGTACAGTTTCGGATGCATATCAATTCCATTTTCATGGGAGCCACAACAATAATTGATCTGTTTTATTAACAACAGGTATGAGAATATATACGACGGTGAAACATAAATCCGTCTCTATAGATATTTGTGAATTCTTAAAGTGATAAGGATGATGCCAGAATAATAAACATCAGTACGTATAACTTCAAAATTCACAACTGAATCAATGTTTAACGACATACGATGTACTGAAGCAATTTAGTAGGTGAACATATGAAATTAAAACATTTGAATCACCAGTCAGCAGAAAATAAAAGTGAATATTTTCTGACCGTGATGCACTGAAACCACTTTCATACACGTAGTTCGCTTAAACGGTGGATGAACTCGTCTGCTGAATTCAGATCGTAACTATACTCGGTTTCATTCCAATTCATCATACATTCATGAGGTTCTTTAATATTCGCGTTGTTATTTCATCCTGATGCAACAAAATGGTGATTCCAGCACATTTTACCCCACAATATTATATGGTTACCGATATTGATTACAGTACAAAATTCCACAGTGGAGTGAATATCATGCTTCACTTTGCTTTCACTTCATAAATAATATTTACGCACAGGTGAGGAATGTCTCGCTTATGCCTTCAAACACGTAAACTGCTGTCGTGTGAAACGACTTGTTATTTTCTGAATTTGTCTGAACGACGATAATAATAGCGACCATCTATCATAATAAAAGTGGGAAATATTTCATTTGAAATTTGCCTAATTCACCTAATATGTTTTCATTTATCACACATTAATTCGTAACTAGTATTGTTATTAATTTCTTTATGTAGGTCATTTTGTGGTCTGTGGTTTTCGCCCCTGTGATTGCTGATATTGAATGGAGATATGCTCTGATATCATTGGCTATAACGATTGTGTTTACAGTGATAGTTGTCTTATTGGCTTTCAACCTGCCGCCATTGAATGGAAAGGGGTTCATTTTCTTTGGTACTATATCAGGCCTCCTTGCAGTTTTGGCCATCGTTGCGAGTATTTCGGATTCATTGACCGGAAGAAAAATTACTGTAAATTACATCAATTTAAGTTGTAAAGATTTGCACATTATGTTTATGGAATAGGATAAAATCCCCACACCATTCTGAAATTTCTACTACCTGCGATTTACATTTTTATAATGATAAATGCAAGAGATGGTGAAATACCAGCTGAACAAAACAAACCAGATATGTAGGCTGCTCACTTTACTGAGATCCAAGTGCTCTACGACATATAAGAATTTTAACTGACTCGTTTTGTCAGAAATTATTAAGCTTATTCATCGAATTCACCAGATTCCATACTACCCAGCAAAACTTTGTCTTCAGCCTAATTAACTAACCCTTCACTGAGAGTTGGTGATACGAAGCAGGTTGACAGAAGTGTTTAGTAGCTTTTATGCAATGCTTGGACAGATGGTCATATACTTTCCATCCATAAAGCTACTGGCCATTGGATTTGCACTATAGGGCATGTAACACTAGGAGTTCCTATTTAATGTCAATCTGGCATTTAATATGGATTATAATTCTCCATCACTATGTTGAACGATATTTGAGCATGTTTCGATAAATATTATTGGCTACATCTTAGCATTCATTAGTTTGTTAAATATTTCAATATGAGAATTCGTAAACAGTAACAAACTTGTGAATATTTTTTATTGCATTTCTCAAACTCAGGTACTCTGCATATTAACAGCAGTTTCAACCGCATTAGTTACACTCACCGTAGGTTTTTTAATTTATATTATTATTATATACATGTAATCTTGTAATTTATTCACTCGCAGAACAAAAGGTGATTGGTGGTGGCAGAATGACAATGAAAATCATTCATTTTACCTGTCTTGATGTGTTCTTATTGCCTAAATTGACACCTTAACGCAAGAGTTGTTGGAAGCAGATTTGAACAGTGCGTGACGTTAAAATCTCACTCAGAGGATTGTTGAACTTATTGTGGAATTTGTAGACCTGAATTATGAAGAAAGTCAGGTTGGTGTAATCTAGAGTGTATATGAAGGATTGCCACTAATTGTTATTAATCTTCAATGATTTTCATGAATGCAATCAGACCATGAGTAAAAAGAGTTTAGGCCACTACAAAATGTTTCTAAATCAATGCTAGTTTTGTTTCTTGTTGACTTCTATCAGCTGTCATCCTTGTAGTTGATGTCAAGTGCAAAAATATATTGATATGCAAATTTCACTTCCACTAATTATTACACGTTTTTATTGTAGCTTGATTCCACACCATATTTTGCTACAAGTATGAAATTTTCAGCATGTGATATGGGTAGCCGTAATTATACAGGCCGGCTATAGATATCAGGTTTGAGTCGATAGGGTGTCTAACCCCTGACAATGTGCATGGTCGGCGAGTGTCCTAACCGCTAGGCCACATTTGAACATTTATCGCGGTAACGTTGAATGGCGATGGGGAAGCTTTGTTAAATAGTTAGACAATCAACCAAACTGGTTACCTAATTATGCTTCATTATCCGATAATCACATGTGTTCTCTTACCTCAGTAGCGATAACGACTTATGTGATCAATAGATCTAAACAGAAATCCGTGTGCAGTATGTGTGAGCTGAAATCTTAGTATCTCGAAATGAGTCGGGCTTGAGGATTTCAGCTGATATCGGTCAGAGTCATTTACGATACAGTCACTGGTGTAATGTTGCTGTTCTTGAAGCGTGTTTGGTGAAGACTTGTCAAACAGATTAAATGACAAAAGACAACACAACACAAAATCGGATAATCTTTCAAATTGTCAGGTGCACTGTGTTTATGTTCATTGATTTTTAGATTTATGCAAAAAGCTTGAATTATTCAAAGAATCATTCGTCTCTAAATATGGTCTATGTTAACTGCCTCTATCGTAAAATGAAATTTGATTATGAATTTGTAAAATATTTCATCACTTGTTGAGTCCTGTAGATTGCTTTCTACAAAATATATCTAAATGATGTTTTCTGATCATAACAATTAACCTTAGTTCCGCTGTGGAATGTGAATTTCGGTAAAATAATTGCTAATGAATGGTAAGCTTTTGTCACCAGAAGCTTATTGTTGCTTTACAATTTAGGTGATGTTTATTTGTGTCAATATCGGAGGATGGATAATGATAATGGTTGTTTCCACCCTACAACACAGAATTTATTCTTGCCTTCATCCTTTGGTTTCTAATGGTAAACCTCTTCACACAAACTTATGACAGCTTAAAATCATGTGGATTGAAACTATGTGCAGTTAAAGACAACAAACAGTTACTTATGAAGTTATTTCCGGAATGTTGAACATTCATTCAGATAACGTATCGAAATTTCCACTTGTTCACAACATAGTATATTGTTAATTACATCTGCGTGTACGTCTTTTGTGTTCTGCGAAATTGCGAACTTGATAAACTTTAAATGCACAAATGCAACAAATCTGCTTCTATTTCTGTTTGTTTTACATAAGTTTTATATGCCACATTGATGTGTGATACAAATTTCTTCAAAAAAAACACAGTCAAAATTTAAAATCTGATTTGCTTTTTAGCAGAACATACGCCCAGTCAATTTATGAAGGTGGTTTTATGGTAGGGAAATCATTCGATTGTCAGCCTAAGATGCTGGAGTATTAATCAAAGATCCTATTCGATGAACATAAAGGAGAAGAGTAAGCCGACATTAAGACGTGGCACGTGCAATTTCTTAAAGAGGAACACCTATGAGTGGTGTTATCCAGGTAAACACTTGAAGACGTTATTGGCACATTCAGAAATCTGTCCGAAGTGGGAAAACCCATTGGTCTTGGTCTTTACATATCAGTGAAATGAATTAGTTGCATATGAGATTACTGTTTCATTAAACGTTCCTAAGTCTCCCCTAATATGCGAAGGCGGTTTCACTAATGAAGGTAGAGACATGGAATTGTCTTCAGCATCCCAACCGGGTGTTACACGATGCTAACGGAACAGCTTTTTCTCACTAACTTCAAATACTGATGAGCTTATGAAATCGTTCGTGATTCCAAAAATTACATAGAAGGATTGTTGTTCAGGTGGACAGCTCACTTAACTAAGTGTTATGATGATCAAGCTCATATTGTCGTTTAGAGTTCGACACTATCTGAGTTATGATGAAAATATTGTCTGTCATTAGGCTTGTTCTCGGTGATTTGTGTTCTGTTAGTCGAAAATTCTTTCCAGCCGAATGAAAGTAATGAAATTAATGTTGGCGACACTTCGGGTAGTACCTAGCCAGAGGAAAGATTGAAAACACCTCTTACTTCATAAATTTCGTGTTTACATCACTATCAAAATTGTAATCCTTTACTATGAAGCAAGTGCAGTGAGTTAATTTTTCTCATATAGCTAATTATCTCAGAGTGATGAATACGTTCAGTAGGAGATGGTTAATCTAGTTGATCGCAGAAATATAAGGTCGCTTTCCATTGCATGAATTTTGTCTAAGTGGACGATCGAGTCAGGGTGTACTGTAGAAGTAAACTGCAATTAGTCACAAATATTCAAATGCAATATGATCCCAAACAACAAAACGAGGTGCGAATGAGAGAAAGTGAGAAAATGTAGACGAGACACATTGTAAAACCGTGTGACTAATTTGATATTATTTCTGCACGAAACATCATCCAGTAACGCGAATAACAGATTGGCAAAATCGGAGAATTAATTTCGGCCATGAGATAGGCTACCTGTAAAAAGAACACTAAAACATGACTTGTTCCTGATAAACTCGTGAAAATGTTACCAGGCCATTCAGAAATCTGTCCAACATACATGGAATCATTACCAGATCATTTTGATCTCTTGTCAGATATCAATGAAATGAATGAATTGCACATGAGATAACTGTTTCCTTTGACAACACTTTCTTTTATCTTACATATGAAAAGTGGTTCCACAGACTAAAATGGGTCGTGTGTGTAGACTGATTAAATCGTTATCACCATATGAATCAAGGGGAATCTAAGATCACCAACACATCTTTCGGGTAATACACTTCAAGCAATATTTTCAGCCGAATGACTATGAAGAAATTAAGCATGATATTATGTGTAGCGAGAGGTAGTGAGAGGATAAAATAAAAATGCGACTGAACTGATATACTTGACGTTTAATTCATGACCACGGTTCTAATCGTTTAATATGAAGCAAATTCAATGAACTTATTACTTAAGCTTAGCTAGTTACTTCAGAACGGTGAAGATGTTCACCATGAGACATAATTTAGTTAACTGCGGAACGCTCAGCAAATGTTCTAAATGAATACAGTTCAATTCTTCATACCACTTGCGACTTCCTTCGGGTTAGACAGTGTTCATGTCTTGAAAAACAAATTTATATTTCTGTGAAGATTATCTGCCCACACTGCTTTATTGTTCTTCACTGATCAGCATAATGTTCTGCCTCGTAAATTATATATTGAATCAAAAACTGTTTTCAGAATTCGTAAGTTATTATCGCGTCACTCGAATGAACATGTGGAGACAAGAATGAGTGAAGAATTCATGTATTCATATGACAATAATCACAGTGTTTCTATGGTTGTCGATATCACTGTTTATTTCACATAATTTTTTACATATTACTGCTGTATTCTGTAGCACACAGAAGTGTTTGTATACTATGATGCTAATAATAAGTGTCGAATGATGCAGTCGTCGAAGTAACTACAAGTAGGTATCTAAGTGGTGTGATTGAGTAGAGAGACGGTATTTATACACGTATCCGTCTCATTACATGCATAACTAGACACATCATTGACAGAAAGCAGTCACGGTCCTGGTGAAAACAACCAAATTTACCCTGTTTTCAAGTGTTGGTTTTGTAGGGATTTGGTTTCATTGTATGGAGGATTTAATCATGAGCTGACATCAGTTAGAGAACCACTGGAAAACCTGGGAGTACTGGACAGCTGTTTCGTCCTAGTTTGGGACCCCTCATCAGTACGCACCCACCGGGAACTGGCAGAAGTTAGAATTCAAGGACCATCAGATCGGGTCCCAGTGGCTCAATGGTATACGAGCTCGCCTTGTAACCAGAAGGTCCTGGGTTCGAATCCCGGTGGGTGCGTGCTGATGAAGAGCCCCACACTGGGACGAAACAGCTGTCCAGTACTCCCAGGTTTTCCAGTGGTTCTCTAACTGATGTCAGCTCATGATTAAATCCTCCATGCAATCAAACAAAATCCCTACAAAACCAATACTTGAAAATATTTATAATTATTCACCCACACTGTATACATATACAGGGTATGGTAATAAAATGATGTCAATTTGATGACATTTTGTTTTCCTTCACGTTCCCCAGTTGAACGTAGGGCTTCAAGCTAGTGGCTTGAAGTTTCTGTGGCAGTATTTATTTTTACAGGATAAGGTTGCTAGCCTCATGCCCAACTTTTCCTCTTTACCAGCATTTTTTTTGGCTTAGCGATGTAAAGGAGTGCGTTGGCCGGGGATCGGACCCCGGACCATGTGCATGGTCGGTGAGAGCCCTAACCGTTATACCACCGACGCACGTTTCCGACTGCTAAAATCAGTTTACGTTTTCACAAGTAAATAGCTATTTTTCATTTTCATGAGCATCATCTTAAGTAATATATCATTCAGCAACACCACATTTTCAATGCTTGACTGTTGTGTCTCAACAAAACGGAGAAAATATGCTAGTTGTCTCCATTTTATGCGATTCACGTTACAAATTGAAACTTTCGAAAACAAATACTGTTTGCAGTTTTCCATTTTGTTATTCTTCATCATTTCGCTTAATCGCTTCGGAATGCATGTTGTCCAAAGAGTAGTTTTCGACCTGACAAGTCTCACTGCAGTACAGGACAGAATCAGCATTTTCACTGATATTCGACTTAGAGAAAACCAGAATAATACCAGTTATTAACCCAATTTTTTGTCTGTTTTCATCCTTCTCGACACTGAATAAAGACGTGGATATGTGGTAATACCGACTAAAATGTACTGCTAAAATGTATCACACTTGTCAGCTTGATCCCCATTCTTTCTGTTGGGAATTTCCTTAGAAGATATGACTTACCCCGATTTGTGAGTTCATACAAATTAATGCTCTCATACAGATGTCGATGTCGATTTTGATGACAC